ATTTTGAGGTGGGGAAAAAAAGCCCTGTTATTTAACCGATTAACTTTTAAACCCGCCACAGCGTGCAGAAAGCAAACCTGGTTCTGCAAAATCGCCTTGCCACAATTCTCCAACTCGTTTCCTTCAGTTTTTCCCTTGTTCTGACCCCTTTCCTGCCATGAGCACTGGAGGCTCTGTCGCCCATTTAAACAATTCTGTGGCATCTGCCTTTTCTCTGCCCTGGAGCATTTTAACCCGGCCCAATTCCCTGGTGTTTTTCTCCCCTCCCCGGGCTCTGTCACTCGCTCCCGGGATGTGCTCCCCGCACTGGGGAGCGGGTGCGTTTGGGCTGCTAAAGGCCCTTCCCGCTCGGAGCGGGATGTGGCCCCGGAGGAGCGGGGGAAACAAGCGGGGAGGGAATTGCTCTGGGCGGCATCCGCTCATTTGGGCTTCCCAATGCCTCTGGATCTTCAGCAACCCACGTATCCGGGGTGGGCATTGGTGGGAAGAGGCAAGAAAGTCCCTTGGGCTGTATGGGCCAGGCAGGGACATGGATTTGGGGGATCCCACAGCCCCACGGTGGGCAGAGAGGGAGAGGGAGGTCATTTGTGTGGCAGCCCCTGCCTTTCCTAGCGCGCGAGTCGGGGACGACAGCCCGGATGGAGCCGTCCAGAGCGAGCGCTTCGTGCCCAGCGCTGGCCAGGACCAGGCGCACAAGGTGAAGACGCCACGAGCTGCCTCAGCGGGCGCTTGTGCAACGGTGCTGCCGGAGGGGAAACGTCCTTCCCAGTGGCAGCCGGCTGGTGCCGGGCAGCGGGACACTGCAGGGCCCTGGAAACACGCGCCAGGAGCGGAGCGCGCCCGGAGGAGCCGCAGGGCACCCGGGGCTGGCAGGGCGCTGCACCCGCCGCTCCTGCTGCCCCTCCTCGCAGAGCTGCCCCCGCGCTCCGCACCCGAATCCACACCAGGAGGTCTGGGAATCCGCGCGGAGGACGGAAGGAGCTGGGGGCGGAGGCAGGGCCAGCGCTGGGCACACGGCGCCAGCGCCAGCACCTTGTCTCCGTCACCGTGGCGGGCAAGGCAACAGCAAAGTAAAGCCTAAGCAAAGCCCAGCTTGGCTAGCACCGCGGGGCTCGCGGCCCTGAGCCCCCTCTCCCTCCGCTCACATCCCAGCGCGGCTGCAAACTGCCCTCGGGGTCCGTGGGGACGCCTGCTCCGCCGGCACAATGAGCTCTTGTGGACACGGCCGCGGCAATTGCCAGGGTTAATTTATGGCCACCGCACCCCATTAGCGGCAATAAACGTGGAGCCCGGTTTTGCCGAAATTGTGAGTTACGGTTTTTCAAATAAATACATTTTCCTATAAACCGGCGCTGTGTTTAGGTTGAGTGCTCCTCGCAGACACATCCATCTACATAAAATACACAGGAGAGGAAGCCGAGCTGTGACTTTGCTCTGACGACATAAAAACTTCTGTAAACACGGTGTCATTTACAGCGCGAGCAAGGAGAAAGGAAAAAAATAAACACCGAGGGCCTGGCGCATCCCTGMAGGAGCGCATGGAAAATTTAAGCTTTTTTTTTTTTTTTTTAATTTTATTTTTCCATGAAGTCTTGTTTTCGGTTTGATTTGTCCAGGCAGGGCTGTGGCCGCTTGGTTGTGTCCCCGGCGAGKAGGTGACGGCCGTTGTGCCGCGCAGAGGGGATGTGTGAGCAGGAGGACACCGAGTGCGGGCACCTCTGCACCTGCCCCAAGCCCTGGGGACACGGCTGGCACTGGGAGGTGTCGGAGCTCAGCGCTGTTAACCCCTACCTGCATTAAACYGCTCCCCTTTCCGTGTTCCCGCGAGCCTGGCTCCCGCTGCCCGTGCTGCCCCACAGCCTGCAGCACCTCCAYGCTCCTGCCTCAGTTTCCCTGGGCCCCCGGCAGCCGCGCGGGCCGGCCTGGAGAGGCGGCTGTGTCCGGAGGTGCTGAGTGATGATTATTGCGTTACTCCAAGCCAGGGCTATAAATACCCAGGGGCACCTTTAGACACAACCCAGCAGCCGGAGCCGGCTCCGCTCGCGGCCGCAGCCACAGTGGGGGACACGCGGCTGCCCCRCGGGGCACCGGCTCCACGGGGCACCGGCTCCATGGGGGTCTGCGGCCCCAGGGCTGCTGCCGGGGGGCACGAGCGCACGGGATGCCACAGGGAAACGTTAGCGGGGAAGACAAGGGGAATATTTTACGGGGCTGCAATATAAACAGAGCAGGAGCAGAGCCCCTTTTTATGGAGTCCCTGTCCTGCCAGGGCATCTGCCGCGGCCCTGATTTACRGTCCTATTTAGATAAGGCAGCCGGGGAGGGGGGAGCGGGGCCGGCGTCAAAGTCACAGGACACCCGGGGCTGCCGCTGTGCCGGGGGCTGATAAGGAGGCGGCCGAGGGCAGAATCCGCAGCCCCGGGGCTGGGCAGGTGGCGGGTGCGGAGCCGCGGGCACCGGCGCTGCAGGGCCCCGCACGATGCTCCCGCTGGCCCCGCGCGGCCAGGAAACCCTTCCCGGGCCGGCCTTGAAGGAAAACAGGTGGAGAGGAACATGGTTCCTCCCGCGCCGCGAGTCGTAAATCGCCTGATCCGCCGGGCCCYGCGTTTCCCCCGGCGCGAGCGGGGGGACACGGAGCGAGAGCGACTTGGCGAGGGCTCGAGCGGCGCTAAGTTTGGGCGCCCTGACAAAGGCCGTCTGGTTTGATTTAGAAGGTGTTGGAGCGAAAAGGGGCCCGCTTTTATTATTTTATTAAAACACGAAAGATTAGAACRATTTTCCAAGGGGAAAGCTCCCGCTATTTGCTCAGCTGAGCCGGGGGACAGTGGCTGGACAGCGACCGGGGGCTCCGCTGCATGTGAGGGGGTCACAGGACGGGGCTGGGAGGGATTTTGGGGATGGGGCTTGGCCGGCACGGCTCCATCCTGGCCACGTGCCTGGATCGGAGCCTTTATGGGGCAGCAGGGAATCTGGGGGTTATTGGGGAGCTCATGGTGGGCAGCGGGACCCCTTGCGCMTCTGCCAGGTTGATTCCGGCGTGGAGCTCTGGGAGCCACCCGGACACGGGCACTTTGGAGGAAATCTTGGGGGGGACATTGCCAAGGGCCGACTCTGAGGGCCCGGAATCACCAGCAATTGTTTGCCGGGCACTCGCCTATGGCAGGGGCAAGGGGGGGTCTTTGCATCCTCTGAGGACAAAGCGGAGGGCAGCGACGTGGGGCAGACCCGGCCTCCCCCCCGGCCTCCGCGAGCCCGAGGAACCGGGGAGCCGCTCGCACCGCGTCCCGCCCCCGCGACTCGCCTTGCAGCGGCTAACGATGGAAAATCCGAGGCATTTAAGTGGCTCCCGAATCCGCCCGGGAACCGTGATTGAGAGAAGTCAAATAAAATTTGTCATCTTTAAAATGCAGGAGGACGTTAATGGTGTGTTAGCCCGGATGATTAATACAAGCGCCTGCAAACAACCCTCCAACGTTTCCACCCTCCGCTGCAAGATGAATCGCTGGAAAGCGCCGCTAATCGCTAACATACCTCGGCCCGAAGCGCCTTCCTGCCCCGCGCGCTGCGAACRCCACCGCGCAGTGCCCCGGCCCGCGGCACGGGGGGGCCCCGGGGGCTGGGGGGGCAGCCCCGAGGCACCTGGCCGGGCTGGGGGACAAGCGCAGGGACGGGGAGCAGCGGCCAGGGGGGCCGAGGAGAGCAGGACCCTTCCTCGCTGTGGACCCCRTGCTGGACTTAGCCTGGAGGGGGACCCGAGGGACCCCCCCAGCCCTTTCCTGACCTGCAGCGTGGGGCACGTCCCCACACCCACTGCCCTAGTGTAAATGGGCATGTGGATCTGTAGTATAAGTAATTTGCTATATTTCCATATATGCATATATATAAAATGTATGTGTATATATATAAAATATATATGCATGCGTGCATGTATGCAACACACACTTTGTGTCTATATGCCTTATATATGTAATATACACATCCGTATGCAGCGTACATGTATGTGTGTGTCTGTTTGTGGCGGTGGTGAGTGCAGGCAGCACGTGTTCGTGCGGTGCAGTGTGTGTAGGTATCTGTGGTGCATGTGCCTGCAGCACGGGTGTGTGCTCGGTGCACGCAGCACACACGTGTTTGCTGCATGCAATGCAGCCGGTGCTATACATGTGCGCGGCGCCTGCCTGTGCAACGCGTGCGCTCACGTGTGGCACCCCTGGCTCCAGAGGGCCCGCGGCACCAGCCTGGCCTCTCTGCAGCCTCTGGCACCTCCTCTCCCCGTCACTYGCTGGCCTTGGCCCCTAAGCCAGGTCGGGCTCTGGCTCTGAGTGCAGCTCTGAGTGCAGCTCCCGGCAGTCCGGCCTGGCACTGGGGCACGGAGGTGCCCGTCCCGCAGGGCTGAAGCTTCCTGGAGTGGCGATGGGACCGTCCTCTWGAACAGAGCAGTGAGAAAGACCCCCGGGTCAGTGCGGCTTCCAGGCACCCACCCATCCCGTCCCATCCTGCCACCTGGGCTCCCCTGCACCCTCTGTCCCCTCCTGCCCCGGTGACAGGACAGGGGCAG